TGGGAGCGGGTTATCAGCCCGCCACCCAACCCCCAACCTGGAGGACCAGGGGCTGTTCTTCGTCTGGCCTCTACCCTTCGACCAATCCGGCATGGTTAGACCTGCCAGGGAAGAGAGTCCCTGCTGGCACAGCTCTCCAGGTCATGAAGACACACAAGCTTCACCACCACAGCAAGGTGTCAGCCCAAGGTGAAGTGTCGATTCACCACTGCCTAAGAATCCACGATACGACCAGGAAACCTTTCTTTGAAATTACATTTTAGCTAGAATGCCACTCAAAATGTGAAAAATACTTACCTTTTTCTCAATGTCTTTGTGGTCGTCGTCGACACCCTTGCACTTATCCATCTTTCAGGTTTGAGATGTAACGATGTCACACATGTGGATCAGGGTACGAGATCAGGCTGCCATAGTAACTAGCCAGAGATCAAGGCTGGTTTTTTTTTTTAACTTATTCATTTATTTACTTATTATTTTACTCGTTTCGGTCATTTCGCTAGTTTTGTTGTTTTCGTTTCAGTGGTTTCGTTTCGCTCGTTTAGGTGGCTTGGTTTTGGTCATTTCGTTTTGTTGTTTCGGGTTTTAGTACATGCCCTTATCGACAAGTTAATTGTAAATTAATTTTATTTATAATTGACCAAGCTTGTCATATGGATTATATGAACATGTCTATTTGGAATTATCACAAGTTGGCTTAAAGAGTCTGATTATTGATTAATTCTCAAAGTAATAAAGAAGAAAAATGAAGAAGAAAATGCTAAAAAATACCTGTGAACTGCCCTTTAAAGAGAACTGCACCCAGTAGAGATGAGCAGTAATTACAATTGTTTGTTGTTTTGTGTTCTTTTTCAGTCATTTAGAAAGAAGAGGAATAGAACTTGGAGAAACAACTGTTATGATAGAAGCTTGTACAATTAGAGGAAAGAGGTTTGGGATTTTCCTCCTTTGTATTTTAACTAAGTCAATAGAGAAAGGAGTCATTGAAGAATGAACAAAGGTATTAGTTTCTACAGAAACTGTTGGGTTGTGTTAGCAGGCAAGTGAAACACTAAGCTGGTTATCACACTGAAGGTGATAAACTCAAGTAACCACTGTAGTGAGTTTGTGAAGGTGATGCTCAGTGTTTTACTCCTTTGCTCTGACAAAGGGCTAATACTTTCAAAGAAACATCAGCTTCATGTATTTAAGCAATAGACCACACTTTTATGGGTTTACAGGGGTAATAACCCACGGGGATTTTGGGAGATCACAAGAAAAGCTTGTAAATCACGAGCCGTTAGGCCATTAAGCTTTAGCTTTAATTCAAGTTCATTAAACTTGATTTGGTTGTGGTAGGAAAATTTTGCTTTCATTTTAGTGGCGTACTTGGAAGCATAGTTGATTACATCAATGTTAATTTCACCTCACGTGTGGCATGTAAGCCATGCCTTTCATGATGTGCAGAACATGTGTGCACGAACAGAAGAAGGCACTGTCCTTAAGCAGCCACCCCTTATTAAGCAGCCACTTATTGAAGTCCCAAAATTTGTCAGTGAAAATTTAATGCTGCAACGAAAACCCCTTGGTAACTGGCCACATCTATAAGACAGCTGCAGCCACCTTTTACCCATCCCAATTGGGGTTTTCCTATTGTCTTTATCAATTGATGCTTCTATCATGGTATCCAAAAATTGCTCAATTATTGATGAACATGATGTTATCATTCTTGTGACACAATACAGCTGTGGGTTACCATAGCAACAGTATGACTTGCTAAAACACCTTTAATTATAGCTTTAATTCAAAACTGGCTCAGTGGATTTTCTTTATATTACAAAATGTTGTTTAGCAGGATGAGACACAACATTTTGCAAAGTTTTAAAAATATCTGTACATTGGGTTCAGAGCCATTTACATGTAGAGTAATTTAATGCCTGCCAGTGTGAGGATATATCATGCCAGCCACAGAGAATTTTCCTTGAATTTGAAAACACATTTTGTTTTTCACTATTGGATGCAGCGTGGCCAATTGGTTTAGGGCATTGGTGTTGTAATCCAGAGGTCCCGGGTTCAAGGCCTCCACCCTGCCACTAGCGGGATTTGTTTCTTGGTAGTCCCAAGTTCAAATCCTTGGTCACGCTTTGTAAATAGCCAACTGGTCTGCCTCCTGCCAGTTGGGATTTTTAACTATGTTACTTTTATCTGAAATATTTGTTTCCTTTGTTTCTGTTGTATGTCTGTAAACTAGCTAAGCTCAGTGTTTGTATAGCTAAGTGCATGACCACTAAAAATGAGATTTACAGTTACTTTACATTTACTACCAATCTTGAAGACAGTTTCAGAAAGCCTTTGTTTGGTTGTATTGGACTAACGTGATCTAAAAAATTCTGATACAGCCTCACATGGTGTTATGTGGGTTACACACATTGTATTGTTGCCTGTGCAATTTTACCAAGAGCAGTATAATGTAGCAGGCATTTCACCAGCATATCTGTGTTGAAAGGATCAGATTTCTTATTATTACCCAATGAGGCATTACTGGCAAGGATAAAATTATTGTCTGTTAAAACCTGAGTCTTTCCATTACTCTAGATATGTATGTGGAGCTAAAGGTCTGGTCACTATGGAAAATGAATGGTCACCCATGCCGGTCTGTTATCCTTACCAGTTGACTGTAAAGGTATGTGTAATGTTTCAAAGTTACTTCATGTTTTTCCACATGACCCCAGAGGATTACATGTTTTAAAGTGCAATTATGTAAAGCAGTTTGGAAATTGACTATTACCATAAATGTAAAGAGTAAATTCTAACAATTTACACCAGTACTTTAACGGATAAATCTAACACACTTACAACAAAATGGCTGACCAAAAATGCGAGCAGACACAAAGTGAGTCCTGCACACAACTGAACTAACCAAGTACTGCTGACTGGTTCTGATGTAACCTCTCTTTTATCCTACTGGAAAGGACTAACAGATATCCTAAATGGAATACTTAAGGTAACATGATAATCTGGATGTAAATGGAGAAAATTTCTGTCCCTCTTACGGGAAGACTGTCTAGGGACCAATGGATAACCTATCTAATAAAATTTTTTAGAATTGTGATTATCTTTGACATCAGGAACACTCAATATCCATTTCATCAGTTGGCAAGAGTCTCATCTTCATCGACAGACATAAGGCCCATTAGATAGGAAACACTACATATGTTAATATGTTAGAAGTCTGTGGTGTAATCATGGTAATGTATGAAGCATCAATGTTCGCTGTTGACCATCTCAGTTGGTTAGTGCCTTCGGCTCTAGCAACCTGCGACTCTTTAGCCTGGTGGGGAGGGGAATCCTTGTGGTCATTGAAATTTGGCTTGGGAGAGAAGTGACCTTGTGGGTTGGGTGTATGGTGATCAGTGGAACAAGAGACTGCCTTCAGAATGTCTGGTGAAACAGTGGGGTTGGTTTGGTGTTGAATGGGTTCCTCTTCGTCCTCACAGGAGTCATCTAACATTCCAGGACTGTAGCCATCAGAACTCCAAGTACTCAGTAGCAATCTAATTTTCGTATGCAATAGGAAGTGCTGCACAATTGGGAGCCATCAAATTTCCATACATTGCTAATACAGAGGGTGCCATCCATAGTGGTCACTAGGTAACGATCCCTGGCCTGTAATTTGTTTCTGTCCAAGAAAATGTACACAAGTCCTCCATGTTCAATGTTGCAAGTTGGCAGTGGTTAGATCAAGGGGGCCATGCTGTTTGGTTATTAGATCTTGGTCAGACAAGAGGAGTTTGTGATTTGAAGATCGGTCGTGCTGGCAGCACATTTCCCGAGAAGATAATCTGTGGGAGTGGATGTGGGAGTTGAGGAGGGCTGTAGATACTGCAAGGGTAACTTCGGTTGCTGCACCTGTACAGCACTTTCTGCTATGGGGTTCTTGTTAGGATTCTTTGGGTGCCCTGTCTCTAGAATGATTCTGATGTTGTAGCTGCTGATCATCCAGAGATAGGGTCTGTACGAACAATGCTGGGAGGACCATCTACAGGGCGTAACTGAATACAATGTCATGGATTCACCCAACACTCGTATAAGCTGTCAGGAATGCTTTAAAACATCAGCTGCCAAGGATATGCCAATGGCATGTGGTGGCCTTGTATGAAGACTTTTCAATGGGTGCTTGTGGAGTTTGACTTAAAGTAGAACAATGGGTACAACTCTGAGTGACACTCTGGTGACAAGTTTGGGATTTGTATTTTGCCTGCAATACTTGAAACAATGCTGGGGGTCAGTCACAGCTGTGAGGCTGCCAACTTCTGTACACTTGCGGTGTTGGAACAATGCTCAACGGCATACTTGTAGTTGGTTGGTGCCTCATAGGGTAGGGTAACTTAAATGACCTCACCAGGCCAAATGGTAGTATTGGTAGAAGGGGCATGGATAACAATAGTATGATGGGCAGTGGTACTTCCAGCTGTTTGGGCCTGAGATCCATAAAGGTATGTGGTACCATCGCTAAGGATCACTTGGCAGCTGGATGGACGGAGATGTCATTAGCCTCCATGAAGGGTGTTCTACATCAAGGTTCTCTACTACTTGGCCTTCAAACTAGAATTTTCAGCTGCCACATGAGAATGACAGGCATGTTTCTCCAATAACCTTTAAGGGGGAGGAGCTATTTGGTTGGTGAGCAGATTGTAAGCTGGGAGTAACATGCATCCCAAGCATGTGACAAAGGAGTGGCTCATTGTTTTTCTAGCAGTCTATGGCTATACGAACCGGGTGACGAGGATGGAAGGTATCAATAAGGAGGATTGACAGGCCTGTATACAGATGGCTGCAGGCTTTAAACCATGATCAAGGTTACTGTACACCTTGTAGTATTCTCTATCGTAGGCACATGCTGCTGTTTCACCATTGTGCCTTAGTGATAAATTTACAATCCTCCTCTGGGAGATGATGGAATTTGCTTGGAAGATGGTTAGAGTGAGAGGGACCAGCCTGTGTGCAAAGAGGACATCATTTTGATTGATGGGATGGCCTCATTCCCCTTCTGATGAAGTTTTGGCAGGGATTGTCCTGCGGTAGTTATAGCGGAGCTCCTGTGTGCCAGCAGAGCCCTATACCTTAGATAATTAATTTTGGTTGTCACATGACTGTCCATTCATTCGTACATGTCTGTGAATCTGTACATATGTGACCTTCTTTGGGAAAACGGACACTAACGCTTTTCCGTTTATATGGTGAAACTGTTTACAATCCGTTTATACCCATTTAAACGGTTCATGCAAGCGTTTAAATGGTTTGCTTATCCGTTTAAAAAAAGTTGCATCCGTTTAACGCTTTAACAGAAACGTTTAAACGGTTTGCTTATACATTTAAAAAAATTCACATCTGTTTAAAGCTTTGGAGAAAACGTTTAAACGGTTTGCTTATCAGTTTAAAAAAATTTGCATCCGGTTAACGCTTTAGCGAAAACGTTTCAAGGGTTTGCTTATCCGTTTGATGCCCTAGGGAAAACGTTTAAATGGTTTGCTTATCCGTTTAAAAAAAAAGCCAGCAGCTGTTCAAGGTAACCCTGCAAGCAGAACTATCAAGCTAACGATCGCTCGATACTCACGGAACGTAAACTGCAGGACAACGGTATTTTATTTTAGTTCCAACTTATCCATGTTTATAGAAAGCGAGTAATCGTTGTATCCTTGGACAAATGACGAAAAAAAATATCTGTTTGCACAAACGGGCATCGAGAGCCGATGAAGCCATTCATTCCGACCATGATTCTGCCATTGATCTTGTTCAGAACAGTGCACTCTATCTTGAGATAATGCTGTCTTGGTTCCCGTGTCATAGTTTTAAATCGTTCGTCATAGACAATTTATTTAGCTCAAAAATTTAGGTCATTGCTTGGTGGGATTGTGAGGGGTTGCAATCTTTCAGGAGATGTTTATTCTTACCTATTCTGTAACCAGCCAGATCACACAGTCGAACGGCAGGAAGAAGATAAAAATAACGTGCGCGTGCTCATTTGATTGTGATGTCACTTCCTTGCCTGTCCCGTATTGTTATTTTGATTATCGCTCACTGATGAATCACTCACTCAATAAGTCTTTTACGACGACCTCAATCTGTTCTTGCTAATAATTCTATGGAATGGAGAGCTTGATTTGAAAGGGACCGAACACTTTGAAAACAGCGACGACCTTTGTGACCTTCTTTGGGAAACAAAAACAAAACGTGAAAACCAGGTAAAAACCTTCACCATTGAATTCAAACTCCAAGCTCAATCGATTAAAACTTTCGTTATTGTATAATTATTATCTATTGCTTCTGCTGTTTCCTTATTAAAGAAAAACAGTCTTTGTTTTGCATCAGAGGCTTTGTTATTTTAGCAATCAATTGAGAGTACAGAAACCAAACATGCAAAATTTGTTGTGAGTTTGACTGATCGATTACCGCTTAAGCTGGATTGAAAATCTGTTCGAATTCGCCCTGTTTCCTACCCGGCTTATTTTCGTCAACTGAGCAGTTAGCCGTACTTGAGGACAAGAATAGAACTGTGGAAAGAAGGGCCACATGGAAAATAATATCCCAAAATAATTTCAGTGTACAACTTCATTTATTTCATTAGTAAACGATGGTGTATGTACAATAACTACCTACGTAAGCATCATTTAATTCTCTCACAGCTTAGGCTTGAATTTAATAGAAGGAAAAGTAAATACTTAAGCCAATTTGTTACATAGCATAACACTGGTCAAGTTCGAAACAATGATTAACTTATGGAAATGGTGCAACTAAATCTTCAGTTCCAGGCTTGCAAAACTGTCTTATTTCACGATGTAAGTAGTTTCTGCGTTCATCACTTAATCCTTCTGGGTTGATCTCCTGCGGAAGAACAGAATCAGGTGGGATCACAGCACCATCCTTCAGTAAGGCACATGCTTGTTCCGGGGATGTCAAATATTCTCAGCAGTAAACAACACCTGGTTCATCCTTGAGACGATGAAGTTGGTTATAACCGATACCATAAAGGTGAATGAACATTTCTTTGCAGATGGAGACGGACTGAAACTGGTAGGTACACCTGGAACTTCTGCTTCTTTTTGTTCCAATGCAGTCGTTGTGGCTGAAGGCTTGAATGTTTGCTAAAATTATCAAGTCGAGCTCTCCACTTGTCAACTCAAGACAGTTATTCAGATTAAATAACACCGCTTCTTCTTTAAATTCTCTGGAGCAGGGACCTCCTTTGGAACCACGCAAACAACCACAGCCATTGAGAAGGAATTTTTTCGCTCTTTCGATCATTTCGTTCGGAGTTTCTTTTCTTTCTATAATATCAACGTCTTCCATAGTTTGTCACTTTCGTAAAATGCACACAAGCAAAAGCATCATTTGTTGTCATGGATATTATGCATTTGTAGGGGAGAAAAAAGTTATTCATATTGTAATTATTACTTAAATGTAGACGCGTGCTTCACTTTGTGTAGGAGGAGTTTTTAATAAAAGCTATTGTTTCGTAATGCCAGTTCGTCTACTTTTCTGCATGATCACCAATAACTTAGTGGGTGTAACAACTATCAAAAAATCTCAGTGATTGGAAAGCTATTCAGTTGTGGTAATCATTTGAGAGCCATCTGGCACAAGGTCACGTGAAACAAAAATGCTTAATACTCAAGTTCAACTGAACATATACTAATGAAATTCTGGCCTGGAGTCCCAGTAGGCGTACCTTACACTAATTAACTAATTCATAAATTTGACCAAAGCGCTTGTGTCATAGTGGAGCTCTTTGCTTTATTTTGATCGTAAGCATCTCTCTTTTAACAGACCGAACAATAATTGAAAACTCGCGGTACTTCAAGAGCAGTTTCGAGACAACAACCTGCTGCCTATTCACTAAAGGTTCAAAGTGGAAAACTGCATAACTCGGGTTGTACTGGACGTATCTGAATAAAATTCATATTAGTGTTCACAGAATAGTCCGTAGAATACAGCGATTTTCTTTATTTTAAGCGCGCGACAGAAAGCAGCAGCCTAAAGCAAGTCCGCAGTATATCAAAACTCCACCAGAGAAACCAAAAAAAAAACTTCTAAAGCTTGTGTGACAAAAGATCAATGACGGGAAAAATCTCAACTCAAGTCCCAGTGGGCGTACCGTACAGTAATTAACTTTATTAATGCTCCACTATGACACAAAATCTGTTTATTCAATGCGCTGTATATAAAAGGATGCCTATCTTAGGTTCGTTTGTTGTTCGTTTGCATCATTTGTTGTCATGGAAAGTATGCATTCGTAGGGAAGAAAAAAGTTATTCATATTGTAATTACTTAAATTTAGACGTGTGCTTCGCTTTATGTAGGAGGAGTTTTTAATAAAAGCTGTTTCGTATGCCAGTTCATCTACTTTTCTGCATGATCACCAATAACTCAGCGGGGTTAACAACTATCAAAAAATCTCAGTGATTGGAAAGCTATTCAGTTGTTGTGGTAATCATTTGAGAGCCATCTGGCACAAGGTCACACGAAACAAAAATGCTTAACACTCGAGTTCAACTGAACATATACTAATGAAATTCTGGCCTGGAGTCCCAGTAGGCATACCTTACACTAATTAACTAATTCATAAATTTGACCAAAGCGCTTGTGTCAAAGTGGAGCTCTTTGCTTTATTTTGATCATAAGCATCTCTCTTTTAACAGACCGAACAATAATTGAAAACTCTCGATGCTTCAAGAGCAGTTTCGAGACAACAACCTGCTGCCTATTCACTAAAGGTTCAAAGTGGAAAACTGCATAACTCGGGTTGTACTGGACGTATCTGAATAAAATTCATATTAGTGTTCACAGAATAGTCCGTAGAATACAGCGATTTTCTTTATTTTAAGCGCGCGACAGAAAGCAGCAGCCTAAAGCAAGTCCGCAGTATATCAAAACTCCACCAGAGAAACCAAAAAAAAAACTTCTAAAGCTTGTGTGACAAAAGATCAATGACGGGAAAAATCTCAACTCAAGTCCCAGTGGGCGTACCTTACAGTAATTAACTTTATTAATGCAAAATCTGTTTATTTAATGAGCTGTATATAAAAGGGTGCCCATCTTAGGTTCGTTACTTGCAACAATCGGAACGGTTTCAACGTAGCCCACGCTCGTGTCGCAGACTCGATAAACATGTCTCTTAGGCAACTATGCAAAGAAACTAATAAGCAGCTGTCGAAAGCGTTGCTGTATTTTCCACAAGAAATGATGACTGGTATCGCCCCCACAAGGCTGATTTTAGATAAAAGCTTCCAATCCAAAGAAGGGAGCACAGTGACAGTCAACTGGTAAGGCAAGAAGATACAAGCAGAGATTGTAGCTGTGGATGGTAAGTCTTACAACCTTTCCATTGGTAACTGTTCACTCAACACATGAAGATTCTGTTCAGTAATTTTTGCATGAGCTCCTCACACATCACACCAAAAATTTCAATTTTAAGCACATTTTGTGTGGTCATTAAGTTTTTACATTTATTGCTGCGTGAACTAACCCTTTTTGTGTCCTTGGTTACAGATAGCGAAGAGGTTCTCATCAAAAAGATGTTGAGTGGTCATCGAAGTTTGTGTCTGCCGCTGAACCCAGCCCAAGTTCCAACCAGTCCAACTTACCAGCCAAAAAGCAGAAAACACACCAGCAGCCAAGGAAAACTCAAGTCGATTCAAGTGTTCATAAGGTACTTATCGTTCATTTGCACTTACAAGGTAATGAGGCTGAACTGATTTGGGTAAAAAGTTTTTTTCCTCTTTGACACCATTTAATTGTCCATTACGTAATAGAAAACTTAGGCTGAATCAAAGCGAATTATATTTCACTCATAGAATTGATTTGGGCTGTGTTTTGAGGAGACCTGGAGCACCCACATCTAATCTTGTCTTACCCATGGCGACGCAGTGCATCAAGTTTTCAACAGGTGCTCACATTTGTAATGAATTATGGTCGTTTCTTGGTCAGTTCGCAAACTTCTGATAGCCAGTTCGCAAACCTCATATATTATGCGTACTCTGAACTGTTACATAAAATTAGTAATAAGAACTTCAGTGTAAGACGATTATATCATCAACAGAAATTCAGACCAAAACAGGCGTATNCCTGGGCTATGAATTTAAGCTAGCAGGAATCTGGTGAATAGCTGCAAGGACGCCGATACTGCTGTCAAGTTTTTTATTGTGGCGCATTCCGTTTCGATAGCTATGGTTGAAACAAAAAGGCCCAAAATTTGTAATCTTGAAACTTCAAAATTTCTTTAGAAAGCAAATCATTTCTCGCGTATTGCGTTATTTGACCCTGACGCATCTCGGCTTCTGACAAGGTCATGGCATTTGCAGTTCATTGCGTATGCAAATTTGTTTCATGCAACTTCAAACCGAAACAACAATGAACAAAGAAGGAGATTGTGATTAAAACTGCAGTCTCAATTTGCGATGGTTATTATTACAGGTTTCGTGACAGTATAAAAAGTTAGTTGCGCCTGTTGAACGCATGTATTGAAAAATTTTCTTGTCAACGACGTTACATATAATTTGCTTCCAGAGGTTACGGTTTTTGTTATTTTAGCGTTTCTTGAACTAGCCGTTCAGGTTGAGATATTGGCAGCGAAACTGTTCTTGGTAAATTGCGCTTAAATCAACAAAATAATGTCAGGGCAGAGAATCAACATAAAGTTGCACGAAAGCAGCGAAAGTTTACCCAGAAATAGAATGCACAAACGAGAAAGCGAGCAAACAAATGAATTTCGAAGTAACCCGACTAAAGTTCATCAGATACGACAGTACTTTTTTCGTTCGCAGAATGTATCTTTAACAATCTACAGTTTTTATGCTCCTTTGTTGCATTCAAAGATATCTGTTTAACATTGTAAGACTGCTAGTTTTTCCTGAAACGATCTCGCCGACTCAACCGTTCAACTGTTTAAGCTGTCCGTTTGTGAACTTTGGTAAACTGTTCAATCATTTAAGCTGTCCGTTTGTGGACTTTGGTTAACCGTTTAACGGTTCAAGCTATCCGTTTTTGGACTTTGGTCAACCATTTAACGGTTCAAGCTAACCGTTTGTTTTTTTGGTTGACTGTCTAACGCTTTAAGCTATCTGTTTTCTGACTTTGGTCAACTGTTTAAAATTTTTGCTATCCGTTTAAACGGTTATGGAAACCATTTAAACGCTTGAGTTAGCCATTTAGTATCCATTTAAAACTGTTTTTCTTGACCGTTTAACGAAAAAGCGTTAGTGTCCGTTTTCCCAAAGAGGGTCACATATGTCGTATGCCACACTCATGTGTGAGCTAAGCCCAATATCTTGAAAAATATGAGAGTAGCACCTTTACCATAGATACATCTTTGATATTGGACATTCATGTTATGGCTTATTGATAGTTGTCAAAACAAGATATCTGGTGACCAGTATCACATGACCGTATTGTGGGTTCATGTTTTAGAGCTGATCAAGATCGCGTGTGTTGTTGAAGTTTCCCCCTGCCAAGATACTGGTTTTTGATTGGATTGGGGGGCTTAAGCCTGGCTATTACTCTGAGGGATAATAGCATATTGAGCAGAAATCTGGGAACAGATTGTTTATTGTGAAACACAACATGTGATTTGATTGAATGTCAAAGGAAATGTCATCGAACAGAAAAGAGACGTGATGCTTTAGAGCTGTGTCAACTAATATTTTAAGTGTTATTTTAAAGTACCTTTGCGGCCTGCCTGGTGGTTGAGAGGCATCATAAAGCCTTGATAAACCCGTAAGTCATCAACACATTTTAAAGAAGCAAAATGTGTTCTGAAATTCGCATGTAGCTGATATAATCAAGTTATTGGCGTTAAAAGTCTGATCGATCCAGGTAGCAAAGTCCAAGAGCAGATCTTGCCCAAGAAAAAAATCATTTCATGAGTTGTGGCCCATTTACCAAGCGTTCCTGGCTTTGAAGTTTGGAAATTGAGAACTGTTTTCTTGTGTGTGAGGTGAAGAGACCCTTCCCAGCATGCATTGCAATCACACTCTGGGAACGTTTCATGTACTTGTAACTGTTACAACAATTTAAGTAAAGGAAATGGATTTTTTGGATATTCACTTGTATTCTTCACAATCTACGGGTATATTACGAACTCACGAAGTGACCAGCTCCCAGATGGCTTGATAGCTTAGTTGGTAGAGCACTGCACCAGTATCGCAGAGGTCATGGGCTCGAATCCCGTTCAGGCCTGAATTTTTTTTCATGCTTTTATTTCACAACTGCTTAAGTTGTGTGCATAAATACGATGATCAATCATGTCTTCATATCTTTCTTCACAGTTCAAATATATGATATTTCATATATTTACTTGTATCAAATACAAGTCTTAACCAATTGAAGTTCTACTTGGTAGCCATTTATACATGCAACAAATTGTATATTAATAAAACTTTTCTTTGTGCCAATCTAGTTCTGACAAGGATCTAGCTAAAGCTGCATGCTCACCTCAAGCAATGCTTGGCTCCTTCCATTTCTTGTGGTAGTAAAATTACACTAGCTGCATATTAACACGTGTTTTCAGTGAAATCACTTCATTTTAAAAATTATCTCTTGAAGAACATCAAAACCCTTTCTGCACAAACATGTTGCCATTGCATATTGCAAAGACTGAAGTTACAGTAAGCTGCTAGTAACATTATTTACAGACACTGAACAAGATTGTTTCTAGCAAATGGAGAGAATTTTGAAGGAGTTGATCTTTTCCTGACGCTAATACAGTACATGAAGACACAAGGGTTTCCCGCTTCCAAAGAAACAGTGGAGTTCTTATTTCTTGATGTCAATGGCATAAAACTTTATATGTTTATTCAGAGTGGACCAATCAAAGTGAACTTCCCATATTATCTTAAAGGACTTCAAGATCAGATTTCAAGTTGTGTTGTCACAAAATTGTGAAACAGTTTTTACCCATTCACTGGTCTCTACTAGTATCAACACCCAAAACAGTTAGCTGGTAACTTTTGGGCCTAACTGAAAATGCCAAGGAGTTCACATTACAGGAAATTTGAAGTACGTTGTACGGTATGTTGGAGTAGATGCAGACTTGTGGCACAGCATGATATATCTTGGGAGTTTTTCGTTGCACGCAATGTCAGCACTGCGAGACCCCTAGTGAAAACCGAAAACTGAACAAAAATGCAACCCAGGAGAGAATAAGCTTGTTGAAATGAATATTGTGATGCAAAAGAAGGATCCTGTTATATTTTAGTTTTTTAATTTAGCATACTTTTATGGTACGAGGACGTGTCATGCTGATCAGCAAGATTATGGCCAATGTAACAAGGCCTGACAAATGTCATGTCTGAATTTTATGTGTTTGTAAAACGAAGTTAGCCAGAATTACAATGATAAAACAGCCTGACAAATGTCTCAGTAATGCCGCGTAAGCGAATAAATTTGTTTTGTACTCTATCATGCTAGTTCAAGCCATAAATAGGCTTTACAATAAACAGGCCAGGCAGTGGTCTCATCCAGTCACACTAGGAGACAAAATCCTTGTCTTGCTGTCTCTTGCTCAGTTCTTACCACAAAAATAACATTATGACCTGAATCAGGCCACAATCTCAATCAGTCAGGCCACAAATGTTTTGTATGGGCATGGCTTTAGTTAGTGAGTACTATTTAAATTATTAATTTTTTTCTGTTTCTGTTTACATGCTTTTTGAAGGTTTTTCTATTGTTTCTCTTTTATTTTGTGGAAAGGTTATTTTCACTAGCCACATTATTATTGAACAGTGTTAAGCTTGATTATTTCTTGTTTGTTTATATAAAGGACATCCATGTCCATGAATGTCATGAAGATGATAACATTCACACCATTGAAGACCTTTTTCCTATTGGAAGTCAATGCTTCATGTTAGCATCGCCATATTATGGTGCTTCAGGTGAAGTGATAGAGATTGATGTTAAGCAGTCCCGTGTTAGAGTTCAGCTTCAAGTGCCAACTGAACCTGATATATCGTCTGTCATTGATCAACATCAGGTAGGTTGTTTCTTATAACTAATATTTAAATACATCAACAAATACTTATGTTACACTGCTTTTGACTTAGATTTTTATGGAAAATTTATTAAATTCTTCCATGAAATTTGCATTGGTTGCCAATGAGAGGAATGAGAGGATTCCAACTCACAAAACCTCTCATGTAGGATGAAAAGACCCAACTCACAGAACATTTGAATTGGATATGGATATGTGAGGAACATTCTTCACCAGACCTGCCTTTTAGGAAATTTTTTGCACTCACAAAACCTCCCAATTAGCCTAATTGGGAGGTTTTGTGAGTGCAAAAAATTTTTGTGAGTTGGGTCCTTCAAATATCCTTCCGGGAAGGATATTTGAAGGACCCAACTCACAAAAATTCTCAATGGGGAAAGATATTACAGGAACCTATTGTGTGATTTTTTTTTTTTGATGTGTTTATTTAGGCCATGTCACTTCATTACCTGCCAGCATATGTTGTAGCGAAAAAGCTTGGTATTTCTGCAAACTTGCTATCAAGAATAACTGGCAGTTTTCTTATCGAGCCAGGATCCAGTACCGAGTAAGTGACCAGCTGCAACTCATAACAGTGATTGGGTGATTCCAGAAAATATTCATACACATCCACGGAAGGCTTCCATATTTTAACCCCACTTCGGAAATTCCAAAATGCTCTCCCCCAATTTTGCTTAAACCCTCTGGAATTCCTTGTTTTACTCCCTATGACTTCCCATGAAAGAGGCTTTACTCTTACATCTTCCCAGAAGTTTTGCTTGAAGATTTTCAGTCAAACAAATGTCTGCATGGCTTGAAATTGTGGCTGACACCATCGCATGCATTCATGACTAAATGTTTGGCGACTGAAACTTCCTCCTCCTCCCTCACAATTTTGTGACTAGTTTGTGACTAGACTACTGAAGATTGTCTTTTTGTCCTAATTACATGTACTTTAGAAATTTGAATACCACAGGCAAATCCTGCCTAATGTACCTTCAACATTACAAATGATATTCACTCAATCAAATGCCATTACAGCTTTTTTTTATAAATATGTATCACTGTTCATCCATGTTTTGCATTTGCTTGCAAAGAAATGTGGCTGGTCGTTGTCGTGCATGCTCATTGGGAATTATTAATCTGTCAAAAAATCCATCAACTTTATGGCCTCGAGCTTGATGTACAACCATGTTTTATCGTTTTTCTTCTGTAAATGAATGCAAATACATGTATGATCAATCAATGCTTGTCTTGTACAGTATCCTGCTTTCCATGTTGGTCAGCAGTGTTGTCAGTTCATTGGTGCTTTCACATGTTGGAGATCCTAGATCTGAAAAAAAAGAAAACATGCCTTGGGAATTACAATCATAAGAACCCCTGTGCCTTGGGATTTCCAGATCAAAGAATTCCCCCTTGCCCTCAGATTTCCAAAAAGCCATCCTTGGTAGAAGTGTGAATATTTTCTCAAATCGCCCATTTGAAGTTTTTATTTTTTATTTGACAACAACAACAATGAACCAACCAAGCACGTATTTGTCAAAAAAAGAAAGAAAATTAACTTAACCCATGACACCCTCAGCTTTTTGGCAAAACTGCATTTTTTAGATGGAAATGAGCTAAATTAGCTTAATATACTCCAAAAGGTATTTGGAAAATGAAAGCATGCCTTTCTTTCCACTAGCATCAAATTTTATGACCGTTTTGCTCAGGCCAGTGCACAAATCCAAATCCATTCTTGTTCTTTTTTTTTTTCCCCTTTTCTCATCCTTTTGCTGCAGTTGTTGACCTTCTGCTGGGCTTGCTTCCACCTCAACACTTACCGAGAAAAAGCATCATTGAGACAGGAAATTCTTACCACGGGGTAGCCACATTTTATATTAAGTCAGCTTAGGGACAGGGTTTTTATTCCATTTTAAGACAATTATTTTTAGACTGGGTACTGTTAATGTCGAGTATTTACTTATTCAGTTAGTTTTTAAATCATTTTCTTATATTGGTTTAATATTAGATATTCATAGATATTTTGGTCTTAAAATATTTATAATAAGTCTTTTATAATTCTTAATCGAGGGGCACAGGTTTATTATTAAGTGTAAACCCTCTCTAAATAAAGTTTGACTGATTGATTGATTGATTGTACATGTACCAGTAGTTGAGGGAAATTTTCTTCCAAGTTTTCAGCATTTTTGTGCATATTTCATGCTCATTTTACCCAGTCTGTTTGATCTGGGTCTTGTTGGAAAGATCATTTCCTCCTGCAGAACGTGAGTATAAGTGACGCCAATTTTGGTTAAAGGTGATAACGTCAGAAGTGAAGCAAAGGCCATTGCTCATCACAACAGTTTACAGCTGATGCCATGTTTTCACGAGAGAGGTTTACTACAGTTACTGCTTATGGAGGTTTCGTAACTAAAACGCAGTTATTAGAGAAGCTGTTTACACGGAACTAATTAACTAGAGTAGGCCACATACAATGGATGGTTTGAGGTTTTCTCAGAAAGCAAGGAGAGCAAGTCCTGCAATGTTGCATAGAAGCTACCGGAAAGTTATAAGATTTCTGACTTTACTCCAATGCCGAACACAGGTTGTTGTCAATTTGCAGGTGGTGATGTCGAGACTAACTATCCGTAAATGTAAAGCTTTTCAGATGATAAGTGGAAGGAAAATTTTGATCCTCTTCCTGCAAAAAACCTGAAACGGCCTCTGCCATGGAGCCTGGGCTACGTAAAGGTTTACCAGTGCTTCTTCTTATTTGGGGCCACTTTAAATTCTAACATTTGCTTTTCTTTTCCATAGACCTCAATTATGATTTTTTTCTCTCTCTCTTTGTGGAAGGTCTTCTTCTAGTTGCGCCTGCCTGTACACTGCTACTAAGCTACTGAGCTTCTAACAGAAAGGAAACACTTACAGTACTTGACGATGAAAGGGAAACAGCAGTCCGGGATTTCTTTGACCAAACATGATTTAATTTAGCATTTTTTGCCCATTGACTTGAAACCTACTTATATTAGGAGGAATTTCTCTTCTTTATGAGCTGGGCGCATGAACCCTTGCTGCCAAGATAATGTCTGCTTTTCCTCTGTTACTGTCGATTACTGAGCTAAACCATGCCTGATGAGCATTAAACTGTCGACAAACCTAGGTTGGCTTACTTTTGATTTTGCCGCCATTTACCGAGGTTTGCTACTGTGTTAACACCATTAAAAAATCACTTTAGTAAAGTTAAAACAAAACCAAGGTAAACATTTCTCGTGAAAACACGGACTGAGACAGACACTAAGGGGTTAATTAGCCAAAAAAAATAGTCAGAATAGTAATACTAAACAAGCTGAGTAGTCACATAAATTTCATCATACCTGTCCTAGCAGTGTTTTAATGTGTTAGAAGCAGTTCAGGGTCTCTGTAGGAAAGTTTTTGTGTTTTAGTCTTGCAACATAACAGCTACAAATAGGCATTGGCAGCACTTGATTGATCACCTTATAAAAGATTACGCAGTGAGCAGCCAAGACAATTGCACCATAATTTAAGGGTTTTGTGCAAAAAGGGCGCATATCGCTTTTTGGGCTGATTTTCATTTTTTCAGGATCAAGCTAATATTTGGCAGACTGAATTGTTTTGACATGAAAAGCATTGTTCCATAACTGTTTTTGTTGATTTGCACTTCATTTTCAAGAAATAACGTATGCAAAAAACTCAGTTTTCCAAGGGCATCTTTTGGAGATCTTTTGGAGATCTTTGTTGTACGAAAAACAAAAGAAACCTTTTGTTTTGGTAAATGATGCAGTCACCGAAACGTGGCATTTGCCGCTAGTTGTTTGAACCGATACAAGTTTTATTATTTGTATAATTACGCTAATCTCTTACTGTTGCTTTATTAGCGCAAGCGAATAAAGTGCTGATCAGGCCAGACTCGAGTTTGTTTTGTTCTGACACCGGTTCGATACAAGGTCAGTCGATTTTTGTTCCCGGTCAATTTCTCTAGTTCTTTCAAATGTAAAAACATGTATTTAAAACAAACACGTGTTGTCGAAGCTGCTAAAAGTAATCGTTTAAATTAGCATCACATTGAAATCCATTTGAAGGATTTGCTCTAAAAGATGTCTGAGTTTTTTTTCAGACATTGTCTCTTGAAAACGAAGCGCAAATCAACAAAAATAATTACTCAATGATGCTTTTCATGTCAAAACAAGTCAGTCTGCCAAAAATTAGCTCGATTCTGCGAAAAATAAAAATCAGGCTAAAGAGTGATACACGTCCTTTTTGCATGAAAGCCTTCAATTATATGTTTATTTAAGATGTAGAATTATCCTCGCATTTTGATTGGTTCTTACTTATGATCTATTGTGTGGTTCCAGAAAATATCCATACTCCCAGCGGAAGGGATTGGTAATTCCAGTGCGGTGGGGTGTGAAAGGCCCAGGGAATTCTGGAGAGGGTGAGGGGAGGGGGGGGGTTGGGGTGTTGGGGGTAATTTTTTTTTTCAAACTGGATCCATAATTCCCATCATAATGCTCAATTTTTATATTTTGCATTTAGCTTCCCAAGCTGGGGAAGGAAAATTAATAGCACAAAATGAATGTTCATTGTGGTTTATGGGCTTGATTTCTATTGCCACACAAGCGAGCAGCTGGTGAGTGAAGCCCATGTTTGTGAAAGTAGACGAGTAAATACTGTAAACTTCAAGGTTCCTGAGACATTTTGACAGCACTGAGGAATTAATATATATATGTTAATCTAGTCACGTGCGGAGTCATGTTATCGGTAATCAGATATCCATGTTGTGTAATGTAGGATTTCAATTCATTCTTCGTGATTATTAAAGCATGTAGATCTACAGTTCGCTTCACCCTGATTTGTTACATTGGTGACGAGGATGGAATGGCAACCTACGGGAACGTGGGGGAATTTAAGGAGTCAGAGGAATTGCGGACTCAATACACAGAAAGACTCAAGCAGTACTTCGCCGCAAACGAAATTAAAGATGAGAAGAAACAAAGAGCNACAGTAATCAATGAATCATCAAAGATTGCTTTGGAATATGCACTGCGTTGCGACTGTAGTACTAAGAAAAAAGTTAAATTTTAAAAGCGTGGTTATAAGATCTAACAGATCTTCTTGTTAGCTCTTAGTCCCTATGGGACATTGCACAACAGCAATCTCTTCATTCTTTGTGCAGCATATGATTCTGTTAAGGTTCCTTTCCGCCTTCAAGGGAACAGAAAATCTTTTTTTTTCTCTCTTATTTGTGAAAATTTAAGTCAGTAATTTTAGTTAATGTATACAAAAGAACAATATTAAAAATCTCAAAAAGCGGCCAAGTTATTGAGAAAAAACATATAAAAAATTAATAAACTAGGAAGGTGTCATAATCTCGTAAATTGACGAAACCACTAGGAGAATTTTTGCGGCAAACGCCCATCTTGGAGCTTGTATTTCACATCATTGTGTATTGCTTACATCGCACACTTAACAAATTTGTGAATAGAAGCCCTTTGCTCTTGCTCTCAAGTGGAAAATCAAAACAGAAAACCATCCTTGGACTGAGGGAAACAAAAAACAAACAAGCCCAAAGAAGAAAGAAAGGATCCATTTCTGTATAGGAAAGAAAACAAAAACACCTTACTGAAAGCCACAAAGGTTCTTTTATACGTAAGCAGTCTGCCTTAGCTGTCTACTTTGATTCGTTCTTGTGCTCATCAGTATATTTCCTAGCTTTGCTTGTCTTGCCGCAGGTTGTTCCTTTGCCTTTGGCTACTTTGCTCGTTTTAGTGTCTTTCTCTTCAATGTGACAGTGAGATGGAAAATGCATTGCAATGCAGTGCTTTTCCCAGGGAATCCTGTATTGTCATTGGTGCAAGGAGGTGCTGTTGTTCCATTGGCTTGCAATTTCATAGGGCAAGATAATTTCCTGGCTTGGCACAAGTTGTTTACAAACCTTTACGACTAAATTGGCCATCAATAAAAGCCAGAACATGGAATTATAATAATTATGAGAAAAATATGGAAAATTAAATATAGAAATAACCAAAACCAATAATCAAAGAAGTAAATAAACTGGTGTTCCCAGCCCAGTATAAATGCCCCCTCATGTTCATAACTTGTTGTTCAGCGTATTCTAAATGATGGTTTGAGTGGGAGAAAATAAGCCTTTCCTTTTTTTTTAATCACCCCTTTGACAGGATCTGAAGGTTTGGAATGCAAGTAAATATTTGGTGTACAACTGTTGTAAAACAAGCAAGTTCCATTTGGCAAGTCAATAAATCTTCGATGCTCGAGGACTTCGAATTAGAAACTATATGCTGTGTAACACCATGGGAACTCGTACATATGCAATGCAATGAATTGAATAAAGAAATCAGAAACTTATGTAGATTGTTTACAGTCCCATATTTTTCAGTATGTTTGAAGAGTTTGAATGCTGCTATCTTGGTTTTTTTATGAATGAAAGAAATATGGGAAGAGTACAGATGCCCTTACTCCAGGGATAGGTACTCTCCCCAGTTTTCGCTCGCCATGAACAAAACAACAGCAACAAAACAATATGGTAATAATCGACCTCTTCAACCACACTGTAAAATAATGGATCATCACGAGACTAAACTAAGATGAGACTAATCCTGAATGAGTGGCAGGAATGGATTTGTTGGAATATATAGCTTGTGCATCAATTCCCTCCCGACATAGCTAAAGGCACGAGGCTTCACTCATTGCAGTCTTTTGCATTCTATTTTTTTCTTAATTTTTTTTTTTTTTTGCCTATTCGGAGCTGAAACCAGTTAATTTTTCTATGTTTTTTCTCTTTTTTTTCTAGGTTATTCCTTTATCTAATTTTATATATTTTTCTCATAATTATTATATATTTTTTGATGTTCTGGGATGTTTCATGTTCCTGGTTTGGGAGGAATTCATCCACTTTGAGGAGCACATGTGACATGAGTGGTTGTGCTTTTTGAGCGGGAGCCTTTCCTACCTCTTAGGCCAAATTTTCGCTCTACTTTACAACTTAAATGCCATCTTATGCCTAAAAATTCGAAAAAGAACAAGAGAGAAGCTTGAGGCTCTGCAGAAGATGATCTGAACAAAGCAAAGCGCCAAGTTAAGACCTCCAAGAACATGGCCGATAACAACAACCAATAGAAATCCAAAGTTGAACCCACTCTGTCAGGTTTACGAATTATGTTGGTGGTATTACAGTGCTCTGTAAACAATATCCTATGCCACAACCAAAACCTTAAAGAAGAAATGTTGGCATTGAAATTATCAGTGGATACTCAAGGCCGCGAATTTCAAAAGATGAAAGAATCAGTGGAACGCATAACAAAGGAGAATGAATCTCTTAAGAATGAACTCCTACTCGCCAAAGGAAAACTTAAAGAACAGAAGGAAGAAATGCAATCTCTTTGGTCTTCCCTGGACGACTTAGAGCAGTATACAAGAAAGAATTCGCTGGAGATAGCAAGAGTTCCAGAGAGCTGTTATGCGTCGACGGAAGAGGTAGTTTTGAATGTTGCTAAAGCATTGAATGTCGTCATAACACCTAATAACATAGAAATTTCACAGAAGTTAAGATGCCACGGAGCTACAAACACAATCATTGCTAAGTTTGTAAGTCATAAAGCAAAAAGGGAACTATGTAAAGGGCGCATTAAGTTAAAAGATATCAAACTGGCCGACATTTATCCAAGCTATGGGTCAGCAATTAATACAAGTCGTCTATTCATAAACAAGAACCTAATGAACTTTAGATGCCATCTGCTAGGGAGAGCAAACGGTATGAAAATAGATGGTCTTCTCTTGGGCACATGGACAATCAACGGAAAGGTTTTTGTGAAAACCTCCCCAGATGGAACACCCGCAAGAATCCTCGGTGATGCCGACTCAGATAAATTGTAAATTTGCTATGTAGAATAATCTGATTTAAAGTATAGATACTTCACTATCTCTCAGTAACACGTACTACGTAGTATATTACTCATTTTCCTCCTCGGTGGGATAGGTAAATCGGGCTAGGAAGAGGTAAGTTCCCTTATACGCATTACAAATTGAAGGCTTTCATGCAAAAAGGGCGTATATAGCATTTTGGGCCGATTTTGATTTTTTGCAGGATCAAGCTAATTTTTGGCAGACTGACGTGTTTTAACATGAAAAGTATCGTTGCGTAATTGATTTGTGCTTCGTTCTTGAGAAACAACGTATGCAAAAAACTCAGTTTTCGGAGCAGCATCTTTTGGAGCAAATCCATCCAAGGTGGATTTTGACGCGGTGCAAACTTAAATGGTTACTTTTAGCAGCTTCGAAAGCACGTTTTTTTTAAATAGATGTTTTGATTTTTGAAAGAAGTAGAGAAATAGACCGGGAAAAAAAATGACCGACCTCGTATCGAACCAGTGTCACGAGAAAACAAACTTGCAACCGGCCAGTTCAGTGCCTTATTCACTTGTGCTAACGAAGCAACAGTAAGAGAATTGCATAATTATATGAATAATAAAACTAGCGGCAAATACCACGCTTTGGTGACTTCATCATTTAGCAAAACAAAGGTTTCTTTTGTTTTTCACTCAACAAAAGATCTCCAAAAGATACCCTTGGAAAACTGAGTTTTTTGCACACGTTATTTCTCAAAAACGAAGCGCAAATCAACAAAGACGATTACACAACGATGCTTTTCATGTCAAAACAAGTCAGTCTGCCAAAAATTAGCTTGACCCTGCAAAAAATAAAAATCGGTTCAAAATGCTACATACACCCCTTTTGCACGAAAGCGTTCAATTGCCGCATGATCAGTTCTTATTGCAGGGATAATATCAATTGAATTTACAAAATCAAAAGAGCGCTCTCGTAAACAACGTAAAGGAAACTCAGGAGATAGCAATTGAGTTGAGATGATACCATTACTGCTTCGAATGGCCGAGGCCCCAAGGAAGTAATGCTTAGCAACTTCTCCTGCTTGAAGCAGGAACCTTCGTCGCTAGCCTGCTAACGCATCAGCCCAATTCTTATGAATTGTTTTCAAAACCTTTCCAGCTTTTTCCTCTATGGTGCTTTTTTCGCATTTGCAAATGGACACAAACTTTTGCGTTTCTTGAACAACATATTTAAGCTCGAAACAACAATCTACAAATGCTTGTTGCAATTGACTACCAAACACAAACGTTTGACAATCGTACTACGCAGCAATCTGTCATGCAACTTAAATGCACTTCTCATGACAACCCGCTGACAGCTATCAGTTAGAGGTAGTTAATTCAAAGAAATGTTTTTCGTTTATAACTTTGCTCAGAATCAATCTTTTTCCATTGAATTTTTTTAAGTGAAAGATCGCAATAAGATCTATCTGAAAAAGTGTAAAGCAATTTTTATGAAATATGGTCAATTTTGGGTTATGCTGATGCATTTGTACCTTAACAGGAATGGATCGAGTGGGTGAGTGAAATTCACACCCATAACAATACTTCTGAATGCCAATGAATTGGAATTGGCATTCAGAAGTAAAAACTGGCACTAGTTGTGCAAACTCTGTGACAGCTTAAAATCAAAATGGCCATGCAAGCAAATGTCTTGCTTGATGGCTTGTCTTTGCAAAGGGTGAGGGACAAAAGTATGGGTAGAATGGAAAAATTTACAGTAATGTCAAAACATCATCACCAATACCATAGAACTACTCTGGGCAACTTTTTCATTTGGTTTCATAGGGACTTTAAATTTTAAGGCCAAGTAATACAATAACATTTTCTTTGGAACTTGTCGCACGGTAATGTTGCATTGCAAGTTGAAAAGTGTTGTTGCCTGTATTCCCACATTTAGCACATTGCAGAAACAAGTTGGACTGAGTTTAACTTTATGAATAGGTTGCTTCAACTTGTAAAATAGTGGTAAATATTAATGCAACATTGATGTTTAAAATGTTGCAAAAACATTTAATGTTAACCCCTATTACAGGTACTTGGTCACAATCTGTTACTGTATGAACAGCTCTGAATTGCAAACAATTTTCATGGTCACAGAGAAACAGGAGTTCAAATAATTTGTATCTCCCTGGGACAAGCACCTCTATTATTATAAAATTCCCAAGCTCTTTCTCTTTGGTGCCCATGTTAAAGGGCTTTGACAACAAGTAATGGGGAATAAGAGAGCATTAATGACCTTGAGGTCACTGTTAAACTAACGGTATGCCTTTCTTAGGAATCTCTGATTTTGGTTGTGGTATGTCTCCTTCAAATAATACTCACGACAGTCCTTCTCAGTTCAAAAACTCTCCCAACTTGGCCTACAATAAAACAAAGCAGAGAGTACCAGTGACTCAAGCCAAAGGGTTTCCACAAGCACAAATGTATTTCAACAGAATAGCAGAAGAGTAAGTATTTTCCACTTTTACTACAGTCTAAGGAAATATTTATTGATTCCTGAATGAAACCTTGTTTGTTTTAACCATAATATTGGATGTTTGTTGAGAGGATGCTGTGAATATTAAAACTTGAAACATCTTACTCTACTTTACCTCTGATCTGTGCATTTGAAAAGTGTTTTAAATCTCACAATATCAGTGTGGGCTTTAAAACTCTTCATAATAAGGAACTCGTGGACTGGGATTGATAATGAATTGTTCGATCATCCAAACCCCTTTAATCAAAATTTCATGGCTTTGATTGCAATCACATATGGGTCAGAATTAATGTTTTCTCAGGCTAAGGGAAATTTAAGTGCTCTTTTTAGTGGGAAAGTACACTATACTGGTCCATATTTACCGTGTGGCACAAAAGCGAAAATAACTCACCTTTTTTACTTGACTACAAGCTGGAGTGGATCTGTCAAACAGTGCCTTAACCTTAAAGAATATTTTTAGAAAATGTGTTCCACTCAAAATTGGTGATAGACTAAGAGATTAGGAAACCCAACAATTCAAATGCTGGCCTTCTGTCAGTTTTTCATGTAGGTAGGGTAGGTAGGGTTAAAACACCCAGGCGAAGGTCGCCCTGAATAGTGAATTAATGTAAAGCTTTTATGTTAGAGAGTTTAACAAGAGCATGATTTGTTATAGTACGATACCAAGAACAAATAGACCTTTTCTACATCACAACAATCAGATGTGTCAAGTCGAGGTCAGGGCAGTTAAAAATACAAGGGATGTATGAATATGACCACCACTACCTGCTTCTGTTGTTACTGATTGTACACACTGGAGTGGAATGTGGGAAAGGTCAATAAGATAGGGTAATAGAAGGCTTTGGTGCAAGAAGGGTGTATATAGCTTTTTGGGCCAATTTTTTTTTTCAGGATCGAGCTAATTTTTGGCAGACTGACTTGTTTTGCCATGAAAAGCATCGTAGGGTAAGTTTTCCAAGAGGCATCTTTTGGAGCAAATCCTTGGAAGGTGGATCTCGGCGTGACGCAAACTTCAACGGTTACTTTTAGCAGCTTTGACAGCACGGTTTTTTTAAAAAAGATGTTTTTATTTTTGAAAGAAGTAGAGAAATAGACTGGAAAAAAATTGACCGACCTGGTATCAAACCAGTGTCACAACAAAACAAACTCAAATCTGGCCTGCTCAGAGCCTTATTCGCTTGCACTAACAAAGCAACAGTAAGAGCATAGCGTAATTATATAAATAATAAGCCCTGTATCAGTTCAAACAACTAGTGGCAAATGCCCTGCTTCGGTGACTTCATTGTTGAGCAAAACAAAAGGTTTCTTTTGTTTTTCGTTCAACAAACAATCTCCAAAAGATACCCTTGGAAAACTGAGTTTTTTTGCATACGTAATTTCTTGAAAACGAAGAGCAAATCAGCAAAAACAATTATGCAACAATGCTTTTCATGTAAAAAAAGTCAGTCTGCCAAAAATTAGCTCGATCCTGAAAAAATTAAAATCGGCCCAAAAAGCTATATATGCCTTTTTCGCACGAAAGCCTTCAATTTTAACAGACATACTAAGTATGTTTTTTTGTTACCTTAGTAACACGGTGTATGTATTTTCATTTACACTTGTACATGTACGTGACCAATAAACCTTTCCCATAGCTTCTTACACTTACCTCTCTCAAGTCATTTTAGTAACTCATGCAATATCTTACTCACAGTGCCAATGATGAGATGATGTCCACACCACTGCAATTCCAGAAAGTGAGTGTGTTTATCAGTCTTAGTTAAAAACTCTGACATTTTGCACAGTCTTTTGAATTAATTGTAGCAAGTGCAGAGTGATAATTATAACAAGGAATGTGCCCTTGCAACGTACCTACAGACAATAGTACTGCTATGGGTATGCTATGTTGATAACAGATTTACTGCCATATGCAAAGAAATAATAAAAGGTTTTCTGGGTACCCAAACAAACAGAATGTCAGCATCCAGTTTAGCAGAGAGGTAGAAGAAAATGGAAAATGTCCTTTCCTGGACTGTTTGGTAAGCTGTGAGAGCAACAAATTCAATATGAACCACATCATAAAGAAAATCAATATATGCCAATATATGCCCCAGGTCTGGCCAGCTGACTCCTTACTGACCCCCTACCCACCCCCCACCCCCCCTACTGGACCCATATAAAATCAACTGGAAAAAGAAAATTCAATGGGTCAGATTCAAGTTCATGAATAAATTAATATTTACTTAACACTGAAATTTCTAAGATGAGGGCTGGACGCATTGTAGATCTCTGACTCTCTTCTCTATTCACTCTAAGCCAAGGTTTGGTTTACGGATAATCGAACACAGAATAAGTTACCATAATGTACAGTTTTCATACCCCTTAGTAAATCAAGCAATGAAAGTAATGAAGAAACCCTGGCAAATGCACACCATGAGCACTATTACAAGGTCAATATATAGGTGTGGAAAACTTTTAAGAATTTGTCAATTAAATTGCATTGAGTTACCTTTCAAATCCATGGTTGGGTTGATGACTGCATGCATCAAGGTGAAAGTTATCAAAGGCCACTTTAAATTTGAATACTAGCTTGGGGACAATTGGTAGGGGACCTAGATTTCCATACAAAAATGGTGTTTACACAAGGTGCCCACTGTCAATCGCAAGTCTGTTCATTTGCCAGCATTTTGTTTTTGTTTTTTGTTTTTTTTGCTGCTTTTGTTGCTTGTTTATTTAACCCATTGACACCCATGCCACCCGAAACCACCTGTGATGAGCTTTGGCCTTTGTTTTACTTCTGACATCATCACAAAAGGAGAAAAAGGAAAGGCAAAAAACATTAAAATTTCATGCTGTCATGTTGCAAATGCCTTTTTGAGAAGATTGAAGCTGATTTGGCCCATATCCAGGCTGAAAATCTCCAAAATCTCCAAAAAATGCATTTTTGGCAAAAAGCTCGGGGAGTCAATGGGTTTATTTCCAGACAAATTCTGTAACATAATCCATCTATGGAATCAACAGTCACATACTGAGCTTGTGTGACCTGTGGATGAATAACAAATATTTGGATATATCTAGTACTATTGACAAGGTTTAATGCCAGTAACTTGGGAATGTTTCAGCCGCAAATGAACTTCTGGGTCTCTTTCTAAAATAGCCACTAAGAGAAAGCAATACTTCCCTTTCTGTATTCGATCAGTGGAAAACCACTAGTGTGGTTTGAAAACAGTGCATGACATTTCCTTATCTGAGCTAGGGGTAATTAAGAAAGATGTGCAGTCATACTAGTAATCTTTGCACTAAAAAGGGAGAAGGGATGTGACCCGAAATATAAAAGCTGTCCTCGTTCAAAATGAGAGTTTGGTAGATCATGCAAGATATAAAATAACCTGAGACCCAAGACATAAAC